GAGGTTCAGTGGTTAAAGTGTTCAGTTGCTAACCAAAAGGTCCACAGTTCAAATCCACACAGCAGATCCAAAGGAGGAAAATACTGACAATCCATTCCTGTAAAGCTTACAGCCTAGGAAACCTTATGGGGCAGTTTTACTCTGTCCCATAGTGTTGCTGTGAGTGGGAATCTACTCAACAGCAGTGGCTGTGGCTTGGAGGAAAAATGATCGCTACTGAGGCTCAAAGATTAGACTAGGAGAACATGACAAAGCACTGGTAACTGAGTTTCAGCTAGGGTTGCACTTCAGATGACAGCAAGAGAGTCTGGAAGAGCTTTAAGCAAGAGAGCAATGTTGTATGATTTTTGCCCTTTAAAAGTGTGTCGTGCTGGATCAGATTTGAAAGGTAACAAGACGGGAGAGTAGATGACCAGATTGGAAGTGTGTTGCAAATACAGGAAAGGATGACGCTGGCCTCAGCCAAGGTGATGTCGCTTGGCATGGAGAATGAACAGAGCTATTAAGAAAGAGAATTGACAGGATTGAGTTTGAATCCAAGGTGGGTTCAAACTGAAATTCTACCATGAACTTGAAATATATGATCACAGGTGAATGACTAAATAATCCCATTTTTTAACCTTGTTGTTGTTGTTGTTGTTAGGTGCCATCAAGTTGACTCTGGCTCACAACAACACTATGTACAACAGAATGAAACACTGCCGGTCATGTACCATCCTCACAATCCTTGCTATACGTGAGCCTCGTTGCAGCCACTGAGTTAATTCATCTCATTGAGGGTCTTCCCTTTTTTCACTGATCCTCTACTTTGCCAAGCATGATATCCTTCTCCAAGGAATGGTCCCTTCTGGCAACATGACCAAAGTAGGTGAGACAAAGTCTGGCCATTCTTGCTTCAAAAGAGCATTCTGGCTGCACAATTTCCAGGACAGATTGGTTTGTTTTTCTGGCAGTCCATGGTATTGTCAGTATTCTTCACCAACACCATAATTCCAAGGCATCAACTCTTCTTTAGTCCTCTCCTCATTCATTGTCCAGCTTTCACATGCATAAGAAGCAACTGAAAATACCATGGCTTAGGTTACCCTCACCTTAGTCTTCAAAGTGATAGCTCTGCTTCTTAACACTTTAAAAGGGACTTTTGCAGCTGATTGCCCAGTACAATATGACAACTTATTTCCTGACTGCTTCTTCCATGGATGTTGATTGTGGATCCAAGGAAAATGAAATCCTTGACTTGAAACTTTTCTCTGTGTATCATGATACTGTTTATTGGTCCACTTGTAAGGATTTTCATTTTCTTTATGTTGAGATATAATCCATCCTGAAGACTGCAGTCTTTGATCTTCATCAGTAAGTGCATCAAGTCATCTTCATTTTCAGCAAGCAAGGATATCATCTGCATATTGCAAGTTGTTAATGAGTCTTCCTCCAATTTTGATGCCATGTTCTTCTTCTATGGTCCACCTTCTTGGATTAGTTGTTCAGCATACAGATTGAATTCATATGGTGAAATATACAATCCTAATGCACACCCTTCCTGATTTTAAACCATACAGTATCTGTATGAACAACAGCCTCTTGGTCTATGTACGGTTCCTCATGAGAACAATTAAATGTTCTGGAATTCCGATTCTTTCAAAGGCTGTCCATAATTTGTTATGATCCACACAGTCAAA